GCCACTTAGCACAGTACGCTCTCCGCGGCGCCGCTCACTGCGTTTCTTATTACTTAGCGAATAATTCGGGTAATAACTAGCTACTCCGAGACCGCTCTTACACTTGACTCCCACCTCACATGTAGCTGCCGTCATTTTAACTTTCAAGCTCTGTAGTCTCGGTACTGCATACAGCAAAACAAATAAAACCTCATTTGTTGCCCCTTTACATAATAAAACAATTCATTTCGTTTTATTCAAACTAATTAACCACTTTACCTGGCTCGGGCAAATAAAGCACGTGCATTGTTAATAAATATCCATTTTTATTATCAAAATTAAAATTAACTAATTATACATTCTTAGCCTTAAGTGGCAACTAATTTTAATTTTCCATAAGTATATGAATATTTATCAAAACAGTAAAATAACTTACATCATTTCATGGATACGTCTTATCTGGAAATGGGTGAACGGAAATTATAAAGATATTGAGTAACAGCAAAGCACCTGAGGCAGTTTCACGTCCGCGTCGTTCGGTCACTATAACAGCTTCAAATATCAGCCAATAGAGGTTTTTCATTTCCGTGCCTACGTCACTGATCCGGAACCTATTTCAGTACACGAATCTTCTAAAGACGGTAAATACATCGTATCCAATCCGAAACCGAAGAAAAGTGTTACCAAAGAACTGTCCATTTTCAGTTTCAGCTATTTGCGTAAACGAATTAGTGAAACATTAGTTTCTACCAATATAGATACTGATGTTATTTAAAGACGTTCGATGCGTTTCCTCAAATAGTCACAAATGTATGCAGTTGAATGGATTTTGGTGTAGAGATGAGTGTAGGCAGGCTAGAGAGTAGCGATGTTAAGTCGAATGGAGCGAGTTAATTAACGTTTATGCGGAGTCATCAAGCAGGCGTGAGCGCGCACCGCGCAGCCTTCGGGACAGGCTCAGGAGCGCGACTTCGCTCCGGCGCTTTTAATTAAACGTTGGTACCGGAGTGCTAAGAAGTCATCTACAATCCACTTATCAGCACACCAACCCCTACTACCCCTTTTCTATACATTTAATCAAAAATAAGTCAATTGTACAAAGAAAATGTGAAAATAATGAACGCCATTCAAGTATATATATGTTACTGTATAAATATATATGTTACTATATTAAATGTGTCAATAAGGAAATACTTTTAGTACAAATTCTTTATTTTACCTGTTTGGGTAAAGTGTTGTAAGCTGATATAAATGTAGCAGATCAGGTCAGAATCATATTAGATGACGTGTTCAATGCTATTGTTTTATACTGGAAACATCTATGAATCTTGATAAAGACTAACATAGCACTGGCTACAATATCCTTAATTATTAATTTACAGATTCATTTTTGTTTAATAATCATAGTCCATCTAATTTAATTGGTAATGTAATCACTACCCAATTAGCTCACTGTATTATCTTCAGAAAAACGCGACTAGACACTATCTAGATAACCAAAGTGTAATTGTTCATCTAGCTGGAAGTCTAGATGAAAAAAAAAACAATCAATAAATCACATGTGATGCGTCCGTGCTCCTAGCGGGGTTAGCCAATTACTACGTCGCGCTTCAAGGAAGCTAACCAGTTTCTAAATTCTTCGTATATTTAATTTAGCTTAATTGGTGTGTGGATACACGGCGGCAAGCAGTCGACCGAGAATTGGAGCCTCTTTGTTGGCGAAATCGCGTTTAAAACGGTACCCCCGCGAATTACACATCGTGCGCACTCTCTTCTCTTATCACTTAAGTGGTATTGTTCTGCTCGTATAAACGATTCGTTTTCCCGACGTTCTTTCAAGGTCGACTTAATCGGAAGTCTGAATTTAGTTTTTGGAACGGTCGTTGGCTCGACGAACCTCTAAACAAATTGCATTTGTTCGAAACGGTCGTGGGAGTCGAACTCATGTTTCGTGAAAATGTATTCCACATTAATTCTTTATGTTGTTTTTAATAAATAATAAGTAAATTCGGAGCCGCAAAAACAAATGTTTTATTTATGTTAAAACTAATTTGTCGCGTGATTCAACCTACAGATATGAATGGATTATTCTAAGGATGATGTCAACCGTATGTTTAAATATGATAAATATTGTCTTTATGAAGTCACAAAAGGAAAGGACAATCGTGTTTGTGGGTGCTCAAATGGTGATGATTTGAATGGTACAGGAAACTCGACGCGTGCGCGGTAAACTGATGTGGAGATGAGCAGCGTGGGCGCACCCCCACTAATTTGTTATTGTCCAACAATTGGCTACTCGACTCTAAGTAATATTCAACGACACACATTTTTAAAAGTAACGGGATCGTATAATTTAGAATACTAATTAGCCTCTCTATTATTTTCGCTCACCGCGTTAATACTTATATGGAAGTAATCCGGCGGCCGGCATACCTAGCTAGCATCATGCAAGTAATAAACATTGTTCTCGTAATGTTCTCCAGTATCCGCACAAGGAGAGAGGTGCGGTGTACGATTACACGTGCGGCGATTGGTAACCGCGTTGTTGGTATGTGTTCATGTACAATCTACTTATATTTTTATGTGTGTGAGACTGAGAACTGCGTTCGGCGTGGGACGGGGCAGTGCATTTTTTGCGAACACGAGATGAACGGCAGGCCGTTGAACTCTGCCGCTTGTCTCGGTACCAAATTTTGCCAACGGAGCGCATCTTTCAGTATCTTTACTTAGCTGCAATTTTATTGAACTACAGACAGAAGTGTAGTTCAGACTTCAAAGCTAAATACATTGAGCTACTTAAGCAAAATATGCTCTTATTTATATTGCGCTCATCTACGTAAGTACGTAGTAGACGAGGATATAAATCTTAAACGATGTATGTTTAAGGTTATATAAAAGTAATACGTGAACAATATAGTTTTACGGTTATTATAATAATGAATGTAGGCTTTGTGTAGGCGCGATGGTAAATAACAGTTTGGTCGCGTGTCAGCAGTGGACGACGACGGCTTGCCGGCACGCATTGTGAGCAGGCGGGCGGCACGACGAAACAGCTGTCGGTATCATTGCTCACTCATTAGACGGTGAAAAAATTGTTCAAAAACAACTAATTAGCACAGCGGTGCCGTGCTTACTTCCCGTCTTTCATCCGAGAAGAATGTATGACCAACGCGTGCTTTCTTACTTTATGAAGCGCAATAAGCTACCGACTAGGCGGAGTATAAAGAAACCAGCGCCACCAACCAAGATAATGTGCAATAAAAATTCAGAACGGTGCTCTTCCACGAACGCGATATAGGGTACTGATACGGTTTTGGCGGCTCCTACTACTAACTAATTGCATGCTAAAGTCAACTTATAAGTGTGATTAACTCATTAGGTTTATTAACACTAAAACGTTCAGTTGGACGAGTTTGAATAAAATACGTATTATCTAAATGCGTGTATATTGAGGGATTCATTGATTAATCCAATATTGGAGTATTTGCGGCTCAGACACATTCAAAGTTGGAAAACAAACACGCTGGATGGGTCGACATTCAAGCGGCTCGGTAAGTTCAGATCGAGAAGTTAGGTACTTGACTTTATTCAGAACTTATTTCAAAATACGACGGTCTTTAAAGTGGAATTGAAGGTAACAATAAGTTGGCCTTGTTTCGGGCATTGACCACGATTTTTACAACAAATGATTTGCAGCTCTGCATTATTAAGATGATAGCCTAGCCAGCCAGGTAAAAAATGACTGGATATTTCGAGTCAAACGACTATAAGAAGCGTATAAACGAGCTTTTAGACGTCACGCTTGGTAGCGTGCGCTCTACAAAAACTAGCACACGTCGCATTCGTGACTGCTGCCGCCTGTGCGCAGCGCCCGCTCTGCTGCACGTCCGTGCCCGTGTCGCTTCGTCTTGCCTTGCCTCGTCATTCCCAGCCATCAACCGAACAGACCTATTGACACATAGATCTGTTAGGTAGATTAATGCTGCCACATTTCTCATTTTAACAAATTTAGTTACAAATTTTTCTTTTCCTGTTTACAAAATCGAACGAAATCGAAAACGATATCTAGTGACCACGTGTTATTATTTTGAGGAACTCATAAACCTTTGTTAGAACTTGGAACTGTAAAATCCTTTAATTTGTACAGACTTAATAAGATCGTACTCCAAGTTTTGAAAGAGTACCTTTTAATTTATTTGAACCGAACCGAAAATGAGTTTATTTAATAGTTGAATATCTTTTTACGAGTTTTAACTGAATTTATACATAGAAAAATGTGAAAGCTCAATTTAATGACAGTAAAATAATATTGGTATGATATGTGTTGCATTAGAGGGCACGTTAGTTTGCGAAGGCGAGGGGAGGCAAGCGTGTCCTCGGGCAGGTCACGCGCCACGCAAACTCGTTCCGCGGCGCACTTTCGCCGCTCTTCGCCTGCGCCTGAGTCTGTTGCTAGCTCGCTTGCACACGAAGCTCCCTCCCCCTCGATAAACCCAGTATGGACAACTTAAACTTACCGGACATGTTGCAAACTTGCAATCAAGTCCTTTGTTTTCAGGTTTATTTTGGCAATGTTGGTGACTCTGATTTTAGTAGACCCAATTACAGACGTGTTAACTGTAAAAGAGCTTTTCTTCTGTGTATTACACTGACTACACCTACTTAAATACGCAAATAATACTTGCTTAGGACAGTTTCCTGTAAACTTGTCAAAGTTTAATCGAAATAAAACTTTTACATGCATGAGCGTCGTTAAAAGAATGTCTTGTGCTCAAGAAGTGGAAATAATCGGTGCAACACATTGACCGGCTAAAACTCTACACAATCGACGGGGCGGGCGGAAGTGTGGCAGTGGCGAAAAGCTCGCAACTGCATGAGGAGAAAGGAAGCGGCGCGCCGCGCGGTGTGATAAGGCGGCCGGCTGGCGTCGGTCGCGGGGTGCGGAGCGACGAGGCGGGGGGAAGCGGCGCGGGGTGCGCGCGCAACGGCAGCCCCCTCGCCGCGCCACTTGCCTCCCGTCAGTCGCCCGCCGACTCTGCTTGTGCTTGTGTGACTCGCGCCGCTCCGTGCACCGCACTCGTGCTCCGAACACGACGCGTGCCGCCCCGCTGTGGCCGCGAACCGCGACCTCTACGCTACCGGCGAATCGTTTCTCCTAACTTACGTGCAACTTGCTATGTTTTAACTTACGGACATTTTACACTCCCTTACCCGGCTTGTTTATCCCTCATCATGTAAGTGTTACGCTCATTCTATTAAATGCGGCATGATCTCGTCGAAATTCGGAACTCGCGACAAAGTGTATATCGTGAAAGTTTGTGAATAAAAGGCTGCTGTGTTTTGGCAATCGTGTTTTGTACCCATCTGTCTCGTTAGTGTTTGTCTTTGTTTGTGGACGGAGTTAACCGCCGGCGATTTCCGAAATTCGACGGAAAAGTTTCCAACAGTAGGAGCGAGCGGTATGTTGCTAGTGCCGGGCGATGCTGCTGGTTCGGTCCGCTCGCTCCGCCGCATGAGAGCTTTCGCCTTGGTTAAAACCTGCTAGGTGCAGAGCGACCTGCGCTACTCGCACGACAAACCCAAGTTAAAGCTTTCATCAATATTGCCCATAATGTATAAGTTACGCTAAGTAGTCTTCCTTAATCCCTCATGGAACTTTCCTCCTGCATTATTCAATTTCTTCTAATAGTGAATATCGCTATTCCTTTGGACTACTAACTTCTTAAACTCTTTACTTCTGCTAAATATAAAAAAGAGCTTCGGTGTTTCTGAGTATTTCTCTCTTGTTAATTCATTTTTGTATTTTGTACTTCCACTTGTGTGCCAAATGTCTCTTGACTTTGAGAAAAGTTCGAAGCAAACTTTTGATACCACAAAGTTCTTTTAATTTTACTTAATGGCAATAACTAGTAAATCAGTGAAATGGCTGCTTTGGGAAATCCTCTATGATATTCTCAATTGAATGATAAGCCAAAACTTACATGTTCTTTTATCATATCTCGTCCGAGAAAATTACGTTGGTTTAATCTTATCACTTAAAACAACACAAATAGCGTTGATTCCAAGATAATAAAAATTGAATACAGAAATGTTCCACATCCCGAGTCGACAAAATAAAACTGTTGTAACGCGTGATTTTCCATGAAACGATAAGTGCATGCCTATGTTTATTCTTTTTTAAAACAGCAACTATATTTGCTGCAAATTAAGTAGGTGATGTCATTGTGAGTGATAATAGTGATAATTACAATCAAAATATATTCGTAACAGTCATAAATGTTTACAGAAAAGATGATAAAGAAATGATATGAACCAAATTTTTGTCGAACTGAACATATTCTACATGCAGACAACAATTTTAAAATGTGAAAAACGAGATACGCACGAACATGTTAATTTTAAAAAATAGCACGGCTTTATCCATATAAACGTACAATGGTTTGTTTGCAACGCTTATACTACGAGGGTAACAGCTGGCCCTACTACCTGCTCCACAATAAAAACGTGTGTCAATAGAGGGCCCGCTCTGTATTATTATTATCGCCACATTTTAGCTCTTAATTTAGAGATTAAAATTGAAATTATGTCAGATTTAAATAAAGATACAATTTTGATATCAGACAAAGATACCAGTGATTGGTTAAAAAGAGTAATGAATTGAAATTCTTCAATCTCTGTAAATACATTACACGTACGATTTGAAAGTTACAAAGAAACTGAAGACGAATAAAAACCGATTGTGACACCTACAAGATGTCATCTACGTTTTGTCCTTTACAAGAAATGAGAGCCAATTGAATTTATTACAGACCGACACAAAACTCGTTTCACGATTGAATGGGATTTTTTGCGAATTGGGCAAACAAGGAAACTCTGATATTTAATTACAAATTCAAGGATATAATGTCTACAAAGTCTACATACAGAAGGATTGGACAAAATCTAAACCGTATGCGATAAACTTCCTCTTATCTGTATAATTATCTATTTGGGTAAAATGAAACGGGGTTTAACAGAATTACACGATCAAATATAGCTATCATTTGGAAATATTTTTTTGTTATATTTGCAAATAATTGATAAATTTTGGTTGTTTGTATTTTAACAATTTTAAAAGAAGAACTTTGTAATTGTCTGTTGTCAATCTTTTCGAATCTATCTAAATTTTTTCTGATCTCCATAAAAATTGATGATCGTGTTGTTCATAAAATTGCAAGTCGCAATTTTCTAGAATCACTCTTCAAATTGTCACCGTCATCCGACTATATTGTATGCCCCTTCAAATCTTGTACTTTTCTTTACCCTACGAGGTTCGAGAGCATGTTGTTTGTTTTATAGTCCTAGTAACTTATTGTTCACCCTGCATTTCTATTGCTATTCATGCGATTTTAGACAAAAACAAAACTTAGAGTCACTGCGCTCAAAATCCACATCCATGTTTTGTGAGTAAATTCTTTGTCTTTCAAACTTTCTATTCTCGATATTTTCTTCCGTAATTACGCAGACATAATAAAATTGTATGTACCGTTGTGATTAGTATTGGTGTATTGTGGGGTCGATACGATCTGTGAAGTGTGAGAGCGGTGGCAGGTCGGCAGGCCCTCGCTCCACGTTCGATAAGGCGTGCACATTAACGGGCGTGCAGCAGCGATAGCGCCGGAATCGTGTAATTTGCGCCTCGTAAATTTAAGCCGTCGCAAATTTTTCGCCTCTCTCGCTAATTACCAGTCCGCCGACGTCCCCTGAGACTGCTAAATGTGCCTCGTGCACGTCCCGAATGCGAAAGTAGCGCTAGTTGCGATCTGCTTTGCCTCGCACACGGTAAACAATAGCCTTTGTTTTGGCTACCATGGTTCACCTACGTGTTCAACAAACCATTTAGTTAGAGTTGCATTGAATGTGTATTAAAATTGTGATGACAATCTTATTTCCTATGCAAATTAATACGAATTTTGAATTATAAGAAAAGTCAATTTCTCTTACCAAGAACAAGAACATTCCACTATTTGATAAACCAAAATTGTCTACACCCACATTCAATATAATTCAGGTAACTGTATCCCAGTTTGCATTCCAGTCATAAAATTAACTCCAGTAAACATCCTTCTAAGTAATTGATAACACTTTTTTCCTTAACGATGTGAGTCAACAATTGCGCGCGTTGACCAACGAATATGGAACCATGCTAGGAATAACAAACGGTGACATCACTTCGACAGCAGCGAACACATGCGTTACCAAGCAAAAACGTTCCATTTTCAACCATAATAGGAAGATTTATGACTTAAATTGCATTACAGGAAATAAGAAATATGACCTTGAACGTTATTTAGAAATCGCAATCGTGGTCTCATGGAAATGTCGCGTGTGAACAAATTTAAATGTGTCAAATATTAACTTAATCAAAAACACTGATGGAAGTTGTTTGTTTTTAAACGAGGATTTGTCAGACATTGCGATCACTTATATTCAGAAGACAGATATAGATGAAATAAAAGTTTTAGTGGATAAATTAATTTGACTGAGAAGCTCTGAGAATGTATTTACACCCCTAAACAAGTAACAGATTAAACTAGAGGAGAATACAGGCTAAGAGAAAATGCTAAGATTGGATTGTATGTAAATCTAGATGCAAATAATGTTAAAGCTGTGAGTGCACTGAGCGAGACGTTGCTCCGATCAAGCATGTCGAAGGTAAACACGGTGGTGGTTTTTGCAACTGCGTCTGCGGCGAACCGCGACACCACCATCCAAGGTCACACCGTGATTATACCTGCCCTGGTCTACGCACGTATTACCATTGTCCGGCGGCCTTGCTGTCTGGACAACTTTTTATCGTTCAACTAAACGCTCTACTTGATTACTGCCATCTCCGGTAGCGATAACTCTAGACAACGATAAGGAAAGAGGACACGTTCCACCAACAGTATCAACACATTATTTCAATACAATGAACAAAGTAGCTGGAGTTTTACCTTCCTGAGCCTTTGTTATACTCAAAAGACTACAGATTTTACATACTTATTACAGACAAGAATTGCTTCCTCCTGGTAAACTTGAAAAACTTGATAGCATTTAAAAAGAGTTAGATGTCTGTTGTCTTAGCGTTTGTCTGACTTAACTGTATTTGTAAAGAAGTAACCAGCCACTATGGCTGGTTACTTCTTGTAAATTGTTACTATCTTTTTTCCTTTTTGATAATGTCGGTTGGTCTTATTACTACATAGTAAACTTATGTTCCCAATAACAAGGAAATAATTGGCTGGTCTCACATCACAAGAACATAAAATACCTGAAAGTATGCGGCAATTACAATTTAAATGCTCCATTCTTGCTTCATACAATTGTGTCACGTAATGCACAAAAAATAAAGTGCCACAGTCACCAGTGAAGGTAACGAATTAACTGGCGCCTTTCAAACAGCTGCACCACGCAAATAGTCGACCTTACTCTGATTTCTGTCGAACCCAATTCAAACGCAAATTATAAAACCTTCGAAAATTAATTTTACTATTGGTGTAGTTATAGAACATTCAATTATCCAAACAAAATCAAAGTACTATCTATTAAACGTGTAAAAAGCACGATTGGGTTATATTATCCGGGAAATTTCAAAACGTTCACTTCCCCAACAAAGAAAAATACCAAAATACGATTTAAAAGGAAAGGCAAAAGAATCTTCCTCAGCGACGCTAAATTGATTTATTACAGTTCGAAGTAACATTATTCTTCTGGAAAGTTTTCCTGTAAAAAGTCGTTATACTTTCCTCAAATAAAAATTTCGTTGGTTTCCAGGCGAGATGCTCGCATTCTTATTGTCTTGATAGCTCAGTGGTAAGAGCGCCCTCCTTGACGGTGGGAGGCCCAGGTTCGAGTCCCGGTCGAGACCGTGGATGCGAGCAGATGGTCTGGTTACCGTTAATGAGAAATTGCCAATTTCAATACCCCATCGTGCTTTTTATATACGTACTTAACTATTAAAATCTACATGATTGTCTCGATGGTAACTTGATCGAATCGGCGATCTCACAAAGGCTCGCCCGACTGTTTTTCCCCCTCCCTCGCCCACCCCTGTCCCCGACCGCTCTCACGAGATTCTTATTTAGATTCGCTTCCGTCTGATTGCTCTTGGTAATCTTTTCACTGGGTTATTGAATGTCTTCCCCGTGCGTGTCGAGCACCGAAGGAATCTCCCAGTGATCGGTGCCGACGTGAAAAGAATCGGCCGCCGATATCATTTGAGACCACCATTCTCAATTTCTGGTTTAAATGTAGAAAATAAAAGAATGTCCATTTGCTTTGTGTGCGTTTCTAAAGGGGTGGACTTGATAGGTTGCAATCATAACGGCGGAAAACTATAGTGCTTTTAAGATTAGCATTCATTCCTGTTACAATTATGTTACCGAGTTGCTCACGAAATGTTTATTTGCAAACAAGACAATTACACTGTTGTGTCTAATTTAGAACTAGAACTAGTATTTTGCATTGTTGTCTCTTTAAAACAACATATTTTTGTGTAAAATTGCGCGCACAAAGAATTGAAGGTAAATAAATTCACAAAGATATATTGATTAATTTAAGCTACAACGGATACGAATGATCATTACTGTCGTGAACCTCGACGTAACTAGATTTGGTCAACCACAGCACCTCGTAATCACTGTTACCTGTCCCCTTGTTACACAGTACAATCTAATTTCACGCCAGCTAATTTACAGAGTAATTCGTGTCATTCCAACAATTTGTAATAATAAAACAATAATTTACCAATGTTATTGCCTGCTAGTCGCCAGAAAACTTTAAAAATTTAGAACAAACGTGAATGGTTCGGAAAATGTGTCGGAACGAGCGTAGCGCATCCACAACACGTGAAAATCGTCCCGTTGCATCTACATTGAAAATAAAATTTGAAGATTTATGCACGGTGAAGAGCGCGACGTTGCGTTGCCGCACACCGAGCTATTTTCAACCAGGTTATGCTTTAAATAGCGCATTACGATAGGATTTGGTTTCACGAGTTTTTCCCTGTTCCCGGCCTCAGAGCGTTACGTTTCTAGTGGCGGCGCCCACACAAAGAATTTTTCTGTGCGATGATTCCCCTGACACTTATTGGCGTTGCTGCCGTGAATACACTGTTACATCTTTTTATAGTTTTATTCCGATGATATTGATGTGAAAAATGTGTTATCGCGGCATTCAAAGGTTTTGGTTCTGTGATGGAATAATGGATAATGTTTCGTTTGTTGTAATCTCGATTCTCGTTATCAGTAATGTTGATTCAGCTACTATTAGTATACACATGGACTTGTTTTCGATTCAATATACACAGATTGTGCCTAATGAAACAGATGGGAATAAAATTAATTACGTGAATGTATTCATTGTCATTGTGGTTCTATTTACTTTAGTAACGATAAGAAAGATGTACAGATAATTTTAACTTATAATTTGGTGAATACCGACCCAGAAATGATAAAAAATATCACTTCCATAAAAACCTCATTACGTCACTCCTCATCATCATCATACCTATTACTGTGTCTTCATAACATAATATTTATAACTAGTATGTAGGATGATGATGGGGTAGCAGGTTGGAGGCGACGTTCTGCGGTATGAAGGTACCTTTCTGCCTAGTGCCTAAATAGCCAGCGTCCAACTTAAAACTTGATAACTGCTAATTCCTCTTGCGCACCTTTGATAGAGTTCACAATGCATTATGTTGCTGGCGAATAACATGCAACAGAACGAGACCTGAAAATAATGTTTGCCTAAAATCTGCTACCAGGAAGAACGCCGCGTTGATCCGAGGCGTGCGCAGGTGCGCCCGCGCCTCGATGAGCGCGGCGTTGTCACTGGGCGCGGGCCTGAGAGCGGCCACCGCGCGTGCTTGCTAACCCGGTAGCCGCTTGTGCTTGGCTCCGGGGCGAAATGCCCGGAGAGTAACCAGTGTGTTTTGTTGTTCGCAGAGTTGAGCCCCGCACCGCACCGGCTTGCTCGCTGACCGCCGAGCCGCTAATCTAGCTTTTTCGCGCCCCACCGTCGCCCGCCCAGACCCGCACCGGCCGCCGCCATGCTCGCGCACCAAGCACCGCTCGCCCTCTACTAAACTCAACCGTCAACATCGATAAGAACGCGTGTGATAATAATATTTTAATACTCGCCTAAATAAGCTTGCAACGTCGGTGTCTTTAATTCTAACTTAATTGTAAGATTAATCAACTAGTAAGTAGGTACCTAGCGTGGTAGCCGCGTCCGTGCGTGTGTGTCGTAGTGTAGTGAGGGTGCGCGATCGACGCCAGTGGCCGCAGCAGCATCTCTCTAGCCGTGTGACCAGTGCATGCTGAGAGCGCGCGGGCGCGCTCGCTCCCCGCCGCCTATGCGCCGCACTCGCTCTGCGTAATTGTGCGCGCATCTACCGCCCCTGAATTTTATGGCAGCAATGGCCACCATGGTGAACATGAATAACCTCTTAAACGGCAAGGACTCACGTTGGCTACAGCTTGAAGTGTGCCGCGAATTTCAACGGAATAAGTGCTCGCGACCCGACACCGAATGCAAGTTTGCGCATCCCCCGGCTACCGTGGAGGTGCAGAATGGAAGAGTTACCGCCTGCTACGACAGTATCAAGGTGAGTTACTTATTTATATTTTATAGAAGCTGAAGAAATTAAATAGCTTATAAACCAAATAATTTCAAAACTTGTGCAGTAGCGATTTTCCGGTCGAACAAGAAACAACCCCTCAAGGCGACATTTCGCCGCCTCTATTCCGCTCGCCGACCTCAATCCCAAGGCTAGCTTGAAGTGACGTCACCCCCGCCGTCGCCGTCGTTCGTCTACTATTGTATGGGAATTGGCATAGCGCTAACATAATGAGCAGGACGATGACTCGCAGTCTTAACTTGTTCGCCATACATTTTATATGCCTACTTGTTATTTTTATTGTCGACGAGATTCATGTTAACGACGCTTTATCTATACAACTCAATATGTATCAGCAAAATGCTCTCGGGTTTTGCAATATTCCATGTATTTAAATGAACTACAGGTTAGAATTAAATAGCGTTCGTTAGCAAATTTCATGTCAGAGAAAACATGAATATTTTACATCGATTTGCACAAATAAAATGGTTTATCGGTAAGTTTACTCGGCTATTACGTGCTATAGCGTTATCAACACGGTAGAATGACGTGATAACGGGTAGGTAGGTATTTCGGGCGAATGGAGGGCGATAAAAATTAAAACTGACATGTAAACACGCACCTCCGCCGCTGCATCGCCTCGGGCCGGAGGGCCTTATCGCGATTATGTCCACTCATTCGACTCTCCAAATAACACCGGCCTTTTATTTGACTAAATGGTAACTGTAGGTACTCCTTTTTCACTCCAATATTTGTTTTCAACAACATAAATTTTATTTAGCGCTCACATAAATTAAGGAACGCAATTCATTATTTTCAATTCAACAAATCAAAACGGATACATAGAAAGCATTTTCTCATTTCTTAATACCTATTTCCTTTCGTATTTTCCTTTGATGCTTGGTTGAATAACGCGATCAAGAGATAAAACGCACTGGGATCGGGAAGCGAGCCAGTGTGCCTGCTAAACATTTCTACGTTTACCATCCTGTTTCATTCAATATGGTCATGTTTCAAACGTTGCGACTAGGAATGCTATGATACCTCACAAATACACTATGATTTGCTTCAGCAGTAGTTGAACGATCCGTGTGTACCGATTTACTATCTACATAGAAACCCCTCTCTCTACCATGCCACTAATATGACACTAATCTAATATAAGATTGGAGCAAAGAATTGATGTTTATTATTAGACTATTTCATTAAGTTTCTATTCCATACGAATAACCTCAGGTGTAATCTTATAATTCTTTGTTAAAAAATCCCCGTCAAATATTTAAAAAACACGCCATATATGAAACTTGATAAGGCTGTGTGCAAGGAGCCTATTAGATGCGGCAGTATATCACGGCTAGATATCGCATATTGTGTAGCGTACATCGAGTTACATGTGTGAGACTGCAGTAGGTAATTCGCTTAAAGCCGGGCATGATGTTTAGTCCGAGACTCTAAACAATGAGCCGGCGTACATTGTGCGGGCTTTGTACGCCCTGGTGGTATCGTGGTATCGCACCGTCGCGTCGCGTCCACACTGCCTGCTCTTCACAATGGTCTCGCTTCAATGCCATTACCTTATTAATCGGCTATCTCGGTCTTTTCTAACTAAACAATAAATGCATCCATGTTTATCTTCCAAGAACTTATTTCGTGCGCGACAAGTAAATAATTAAATTAACAATATAGTTTTCAGACTAAATACGTTCAATTAACACGTAACACACTTATAAATCTTATTCCAAACTGGAATCTAAGCAATATTATGATGAAAACTTGAAGCAATATTAAATTTAAACCATCGTACATGCACGCATTGAAAACCTTCAGCAGTTTATATCCGCGCTCCGAGATAAAACCGCACTTGGACGGAGCTGGAGCTATAGCTCAAGGAAACTTTAAATAATCCCCTGGAGAATGCGAAATAGTGCATCGTACGTCGCTCCGGCGCTAATCTTCACGATAAAAAGCATCTCGACGACGGAGAATACGCCGCTTATACTGTTGACCGGCGATGGAGCGTCCAGATATTTAACTGGGAGGACGAAAAAGTAAACAACGGCTTTGTGTGAGCCGCACTAGTGCTGGCTCTTTGAGGCAGGCTGCCTGCTGGACCGCCGCCCGCCCGCCTAATCGCGTAAAGCGAAAACTTCGTTCTTTCATCACTGAAACCTGAAACGGTGTTGTTATTCGATTTTCCCAGCTATAATAAGAGTATTTTGTCTGTTGCGAAAGCTAATAAAGCGGGTCGAGTGCAGTGAACTTGCTGTTCATACAGAAAATTATGTACTTTTCTGTACAATGCTTTCAAGGCAGTCCTTTTCAATTGTTCTCATTCAATGCATTTTAATAAATCCCATCACTTGCTAAATTGTCGTCTGTGTAAGAGATTCATTAAACAGACCGAATGTTTTCCCACAAAAGTTGTCACCGTCTCTGTGGGTAATGTACGTACGTACGTAATCGCGGGCTGATCAAACAAACCCGCGGCTCATCCCGCGTCCCGCGCCGCCGCGCCTTTCGCGAAACGTCTCCCGTGATTAAGCCTTCAATTACACGATATGACGAGGGGGTCATATTTGATTAGGCTACGTGTTGTGTTGATTAAACCGAGCTTATTGTCTTATTCACTTAACCTCACCCACGCCGCCGCTGATATCTACCTGGCGGACGATGCGTCTTATTGTCAAACCGGATTCGCGAACATCATCGCATCGCCTCAGACTCTCAATTTACTGACATTAAAACGACCATGAAACACTGACCGCGGGCCATGACGTAGGCGTTGAGCAGAGATATAAAGTTTTAATATTCGAGATGATTATTATTAGCGGCAAACAGGTATAATACATATGGTGTTGCATCAATGTACACCGGAGTCCAGCAGTGTGATTATGTCACGCATCAATACGTAGTCGTCGTCATCTTGCGAAATCTACTAGATAGTGACTTCATCTTAGTCAACAACTTTGTTCTGGTTGACTAAGTTCTGTTAGTTAGGTACCTAGATACCAGTTTTTATGACACAGTTGCATTATACTGACGACTAATAAAAAATAACGTGATATTCAGCTTTCCATGTCGTAACTTTAGACAAATTACTATTTATTGAACGATTATATTGCACAAATCTTAATTACCTACTTTTTCAACTATTTTCGAAGCGTCTAACTTGATTTATTTCAAGAGAAAAGTTGATCTATGTTTTGTTTATCAGAAAAGTCTTTGTCTAATACCCATAAGTATCCGAATCCTACGCATTGTATACATTTGTATACGTAACAGTGTAAGTACTTTGTAAAGGGCAGCAGTGAAAGTGTGCGTGGGCTCAGGTGGTCTCTGTTCGCACAACTTGCAGTATTGTTGCCATACGTGGGCTGTGATAGATGCACCGGCAGTCGCCGCAATGCCGCCAACCCGCGCTCTATACTCGAAATAGAAGTTCACAACCAACTGGTCCACCCACACACTCGCTTTCATCGCACGACTGATTTAAGCAAACTCGCTTCTAAAAACGAAATACTTTGAAAACTCAAATGAAATCAAGGCAACTTTAAATTCTGGTGTTAACGAATTTATGTTACACGCCGATGATTATCACTTCAGACTTCCAGTTAAATACAAACAAGATATTATTACACAACGCGTACAGTACAAAATTAGCGAAGGAACGCGCTGAAAATCCCTACCCTCCAGTTCTTGGAAAGTATAAATCGCTTCAAACAATCCGAACTCGGATGAACGCATGATATTGTGAAACTCGTTGCTGACCTATATAAATGTTATTTTTGAAACTTTACATCGATCTCTCAATTCAGCAATATAAAAAGAGAATTCATTGTGTTTTAATAAAACATTTTAAAGCATGAATCCTTTGACAAACTCCCGATCACCTCAACTCGGCCGTTTCGTAAATGAGCGAAACTACTGCTAACAAATCTGGAGCAAAGGCTATTGGTTTGGGCACTCCTCTGGAGGGGTTTTCAAAACTCGTCCGCCAAGTGTTCCGATGCTGAACATTCAGAGCATTGGGGGCATTTAAAAGCTGCCAGTAATCTCAACTGGCTAGCGTTGTGCGCTACGCTGGAGTTGTTTCATATGTCGGATAACTTTATGGACTGCTAAACACTGAACTGTACTAACTAGCAGTCTACTAATCTCTAATATTTCAGACAAAGCAATGTGCCTTATCCAGTATTCCAGTACTTGGATATCTACAATGCCACTTAACCGCAAATTCCATATACAACGTGCAATTATAAGATAAATCACAGAGATGGCATCATAATGTATGTTATTGTAAAGCAAAGTAAATTGTCTCATAATTAACCTAGAAGTCTATTTTGTACACTGATTAATAAACAAGGTCACAAATTCAGACTGGAGATTGTTCGTGAACCTTCACGCATTGTAGATAGGCAAGTAGACGTAGACGAGACGGCGACCTCTGTTGGAATAGCAGGCACCGTTACGTGATTCATTATAGATATACATACGTACATCCGTACATCTGTCCGCTTCGGCCGCCCTACCTCAGACCGCAATGACGAGAAATTAGCTATGGAATGTTTACTGCCTACGTGGTTCACTTACAATCCATAATTGACATAGACTACGCCTACATATTTCAGGAATCATCAGACTGGTTTAGATAGAGTCATTCATCGTCTGCACGATATTTAGTGTCTAATTGGACATCATCCAGATCTCAATACATTTGAAAAGCTATTTACTTATCTTTAAAATGTTTATTCATTAGACACGACGGCGACTTGGTAACTAGACAGACAGAAAATCTTAACATAATAAATACTAAATAGCGCTGAAGATAATGAACACTAATGAAAACATTTCATTAAGAGTATTTATAGTGCTCAATTTAGGACCTCTGAATGTACGATTCATCGGGCTGGGTTGCGTTTTGCGAACGAACGTTCATTAAGTTTGTGCAGCAGTGAGCGTTGTGGGTGCACTCGCCGCGTGCTATCGTT